AAGGATTGGACTCTCCTACTTATGCTTCAAATCACAGTCGGCTTGAGACATACCCGCCCAACACGTGCCCCACCTGTTTATACTATTTGTTGAGTTAAAATAAAATAAGAAACCAAGTCCTTCGTGCCTTCTTAGTGTGTACACGTGTGGCCACAGGTGCCAGTTTCTTCTGAGATTAAGAGCACTGAGAAAGTATCTTCCAGGATGAAAACAGACACAAGGACTGACACCTTTAGTACAATGGCGCCGAGTCGAGCTATGATGTGACGAGGAAACAAATAAGCAACTCCAAACCATTTTCTCTTAAGTTCACAGTACCTGCTGTCACCACTGCCACCACCATATAATCCTGATGCAGAAAAAGTGTTGCTATGGTGTCGTGTCCCTTCAAAATCACGGTCTCCACTCTATACTTAAACATATAAATATGGGGCCCTATACCCAATGCCTCTCATTTCCCCTTCCATATATATTCTCCACTCTTTTCCACTGTTTTCTTTCCTAGAAAGCTGACTCGTATGTGTTAACATCAACAGGGCTCCCACAGCCTCTGGCTTCACCTTGGGTTTGGCCTCCCTACTGAAGATCAGAAGAGGAAAGTCTGGCTATGTAACCCCCTGGGGCTTGCTCTCTCTGTGAGATCTCGTCCACTAAAGGTCTCTGCACTGATTAAGAAAGCTTTTCTTATGTGACGTATTTGTTGTTGGCCTTAGGTTTTTTTTCTCTAACCATTGGGGTGCCCCTATACCCAGACTATATCTTTACAATAAGGCCCTTTGCAAATCTACCATCCTCGAATAATGTTTTTTTTTTTTTTTTAGGCGAGGCAACTCTTGCTTGACCTCACAGATTGCAAAGACCTTATCGGCTTAGAATACCTTATTTTTTTTATTTTTTATGCCCACAACACCTGATCTTCCTAGGAAGTCTCCCATCCAAGTACTAACCAGGCTCGACCCTGCTTAGCTTCCGAGATCAGACGTGACTGGGCACATTCAGGGTGGCATGGCCATAGACTTCGAATAATCTTAATTGAAATGCTTCATTCATTTTCCTTGGGCCCCTGACTGATATGCATCTCAAGTTTCAACGAATCGCAGTCAGACCTGGAAAGAAGATCCATTTGGCACTTACTTGCTACTTAGGTTGACCCATTATGAAATTGCTTTTATTCTGCCATTTTGAACCGGAAAAATGACAGCTTCATAACGATCCAACTTAACACTGTTCACACATATAGTTCTCATTTGTTGATGGTCAAAATGCTGGGCCAGGAAGCAAGAGTGTAAGAAACATCTTTATTATGTGAAGTGGAAATTGTTCCCTGTAGCTTTTCCTTAAGAACATGGAATCAGAGACTGGTGTTCTAGACCCAGCTCTACTATTAATTTGCTATAAGGCCTTAGAAAAGTCAGTTTTCCTTTCCGTATCTCAATTTCTTTATGCACAAAATAAGGCTCAGACTAGATGTTCTCTATGGGTTTTTCCATGTCTGCTATTCTAAAACCAGAATCCCATATCTCTAACTATACCATCAGTTCTTTGAAAACAAGGACTGTACCCCAAAGTGTTGTCCAAGGTTCCCTACATCAGAATCATCTGGGGCATTTTATAATATGCATATTTCAGGCACAGTCCCTGGAGCTACTCATCCATCATCTGCAGGTGTGGAGCCCACTCCCCTGCTCACACATACTGAACGCCGAGACCCATTGCATTTAGCCTATGACTTATACAAAGTACTGAGCAATAAACCACTATTGATTGTCGAAGCTGCTTGAGTAGACGACCCAGCTGATTTAAGTGAATAAACCACTAAAGGTAGATAAGAATGCAGCAAATAGACTTTTTCCAACACACACACACACATGCGCGCGCGCGCGCACACACACACACACACACATAGCCAGAGAGGTGAGATTTCTCCAGTGTTTTCATGGTTTTCGTGGCAGATTCCATGCATGTCCATATGTAAGAAGCATAGCTAATAAACAACATACGACAGACGCTTTTCATCCGTCTGGCATATATTTTAAACTCGTAATGGTTCCCTTATCTCCAGCCAATGTAATTACAGTGCCAACCCTAATATTTGGAGCCAGGCTTTTAGTCGTCTCATCTCTCCAAAGCATGAATTGTATTGGACTTGGAAGAAAGTAAATAACAACAACAAACCTGTTTCTAAGCCCCTTCTGTATTAAGTCTAAACACTTCTCTCCGCTTTTTCAAGTAGGATCTCTTCACCTCCTCTTGAATATAATTATTGAAAGACTTGGCGATCTGATTTTCTAAGCATCAACAGACTATAAACAGACCAATGTAAACAGAAGTGACGACACCGAAGATGGAGGTCCAAAAAGACAAAAAGCAGATGTAGAATGAATATAATGAATGTTCTTTATGATAACCAAAGTCCCCAACAAAAGGGATTATTCTGTTCAAAATCCTTATTTTGGATTATAAGAAAGGATGCAGTACATTTTTAGAGAACTTTACTCTCCGGGTTAAAATTAAAAAGGTTTTAACACTTGAAGAAGTGAGGTTCATTTATTTAAAACATCCATCTTATTTAGAACATGTAGCATGGCCCAGTGAACACCAATATACATGAAGGGTTAATCAAACAGAATTAGTCTATTTTTCCAGACTGGGGTAAAGAACAGAAAGGGTATTGTGGGTCGTTTCTAAGGACATATTAGTCTGGTTCTATAGCCCTCGGCCCCAGAGACTACTGCTAGAAGAGATTATGATAGAAGGTGGAAAGACTCAGAATACTTTAAAATAATCAACCGTGCAAACATAATTAGGAACAAGTCTTAAAGTTTCCAAGAATAGGGGACGGTAGCAAAATGTCAAACAACAACAGAAAAACTACTACCAAAGAATCAAATATACTGTGTGATACAGAAATATTTCAAGGCTACGGGAATTATTTCTACTAATGGTATTCCCTGAATGAAATGGGATTTTAAAATCTAAAGTTCAATATAGCTGAAAAACACAGAATTTGGTGAAAGGAGGACTAAAAAATAAGGCTGAAAAGATCGGTAGAGACTGGGTCATAACAGGCCTTATAAAAATCACATTAAAGAGTTTAGATTTTAATCTAAGGACAACAGAAATCCATTAAATTACTCCAAACAGGATAGATATGTCTCAACATGCATTGTAGAAGAAACACTGGCTATAGAGTGACAGTTAATTTGGATGAGAGCAAGACTTCAGAAAGTAAGACCAATTAGAGATTCTTACAGTAATCCAAGCAAAAGACAACATTGGATTAAACTGGGGTGGTGGCAAATAGTTAGGGAAAAAAGTAGATGAATCCATGGGATATGGGATGTAAAAATGACAGATCATGGTGACTGATTCGATCTGGAGAGTGAACGGTAGAAAATTAACAAAAGTGATTCCGCTTTCTGGATGGGGTGAATGGTGGTTCTATTGCATAAAACAAGGAAAAATGGAAAAGTAACATGTTATGTTTGTCTGCTGTTTGGTTTTTGTTGTTTCTACTTTTAGAGTTGGGGGAGGGAGATGGAGATAATGAAACTAGTTTGGACATGCTTAGTTTAGGTAGTTTATGAAATAGCCAAGTGGATGTGTCCAATACGTAGCTGGATATAGAAGTCTGACACTCAAGAGAAGTTAGGTTAGGTACAGCGATTGAGATGAAAGTCATTGGCATATATGCATAAGTTAACAATGTTATGGCAATAGATGAAATCTCTTAGAGTTTGTATAGTAAGTGGAGTACATAGAACAAAATGAAAATACCAATACCTGAGCAATGAACGAAAGAAGAGAAGATTACCAAAGAGATTACAAAAGATCTTTATATCACAAAAGCCTTTGCTATAGCTGTGCAGTATTGTGAAAGATACTATAGAAAGCGTAGCCATTAAAGTATGAAGGAACCCAGGTATAGGACTTACTGTTGGAACTATGCCCAGACCTCTTTCACTGAAGGAAGCCGAGGAGGTTATACCTTCCTCTAGTCAGGTCTCAGGCAATGACTGATTGAGATGAGGCTACAAAAGCCCAGGCCCCTTGCCTCAAGGTGGACCAAATCTGTAGTGCCATCCATGTTTCAGATCTCTCTGCGGGCTCAAATGGAGGCTACACTTTAAGTGAAATCATGCCTTTCCTTTACTTCTTCCCCTTCCCAACTCACTTCCCTTAGTTGCTTACAAATTTCTCTGAGAGTATATTCTCAAGAAATCATTCGCTTAAGAATCCTTATCTCATGCCCTGCTTCTAGAGAATTTAATCTAAGAACCAGAGAATTGTTGTGTCTCTGGAGTCAAAGAAAGAATTATGTTTAAACTCACATTTATATTTTATGCATATATATGGATGCTTTATCTCATAATAAAAAGAAGTTAAGGAGGGAGGAAAGAGTCAACAATGTTAAATGCTGCTACATGCTACTAAAGAAACTGAGTTACGTAAGAACAGACAAGTGTTCATTTTAGCAACAGAGCCAACGTTGGCCATCTTGGTTACAGAAGTCGCCTTAGAGTCATGGGGTTGGCTGAGTGGTGGAGCGGAGTGAGAGGTAAGTAGAGACAATAAAGAAAGACACTTCAAGAAGTGTGACTGTGAAGAAGAGGAAAGACTTAAAGCACCATATGGAGGGAAGATTTTAAAATTCAAGATGGAAGATTCTTGATCACATTTAAATGCTAATGGGACAGAGCCAATAAAAAGGAACACGTTGAAGATTTAAGAGAGAGTGAGAACAAATGGCTGGAGAGAAAGGCTTTGAAAGATGTTACAGAGAGAATTCAAGCATGGGCTAGGGAGTTGCCCAAGAACACCTTTGAGATCTCTTTCTTCCTTGAGACTCTGAGCTGATGATGTGTTTCCAAATATAATGCAATGTCTAGGTATCAGGGACCAAAGTACTTTCGTTCACCTGGGGAAAAAAATCCAAATGTTTGATCCAAGGCAAGAATTTATCCCAGTACTTTTTTGTTCTAGGAATTAAGGGTTCTTACCCGCCAATATCCTGCTTCACAAAGTCCCCAGGTTCCTGTCGTCTTGACTCTCCTTGGCCAGTTGTCCCAGGGAGAATATTAACCAGGAAGAGAAGCCCAAGGTTGGTCATATAGAAGCGACTCATTTGTGATATCATCATCTTCTTAGGCACCAATTTGGAGACTCCTGTGAAATGCATATGCGAGGAAAGAAGGAGAAAGGAGTAGAAGACAAAGGGAGAGAGGAAAAAGAAAATTTTTAAAGATTTTAACTCCTTTAGAGACTTTTAACTTCCCTAGTATCCAGCTACTAAATGCTTAATGTGACAGTCCCCTTCCCCTAGTTAATCAATGCCACCCAAATTCACTCCTGACATACTCCTTTTTGAATATACCAGAGCCCATCTAAGAAAAAAGTAGTGTAAAGAGCTCCAAATCAGTACTCAGGAGTCTTAGGTTGCAGTTCCATGCCTTTCCCTGTCTTCCTATAACTAGGTGGGTCATGGAACTGCTCTCAGCCTCAGTTACCTCTTAGAATCTAAAAAACAGAAAGCTTAAAATAACCTCTCCTGTCTTCATCTTATTTTTCCCCAGTTCTGTCTGATCTTTACTATCACAAATGCCTTTGCCATACTTAACTAGAACACTGTAGTAAATACCAGAATGTTAAGACCTGGAGTCTCTTTATAGGATCTTTAGGATTGATTCTCATCTTGATGCAGTTAAGCAATTTTCCAAACGATCAAATGGCCTGAGGTAGATAGACTGTATCCTCTGAATCAGGCTGAGAAAATGCTGAATGATGAGACGCATTGACTCTTGCATAGGAACGCAATGTTTCTCCATAAAGAGATATTTGAGGGCGAAGCCAGCTCTGTATAGGGGCCACGACATAAAGAAGAAATCCAAGCCTAGCTTCCTAGTACACAAGTCCCAAAGGGGTCGGCAAACTATACTGATGACAGAATTATGTGATTTAGAGTTGCCTACATGCAAGGCTGTTGTATGAACTCTGGGCAGTGGAGGTTTATACTACACACGGGGTTAAAAAAAACAGCATAAAGTGGGACTTGCTTGCTATCTCTAAACTCTACGGCTTCTTTGAATTTGAGACATTGACCACTTGAAGGAGAGCTAACTGATCTAACACCATGCTCTTTTCAGTCATATCAGAGGTTTCACTTTCAGAGGAAATAGAAGAATATGAAACTCTTTCCTAAGGAAAGTTCATGAAAGAGATTAATATAATGTGTAAAATAGATACATGCTGGAGAGCTATTCTGGTAGATGAGAAGATGAAGAACGAGTCTTTCTAAACTGAGCCCATCCATCAAAAAGCAGCCACTAGGTTCTATGTTAGATTGTCTTCTTGAATCTGTGTGAGAAAACAGTTATTTGCAGTTGCTACTTCAGCATTTTACAGTCTGACAGCCGTAATCACACCCAGAGTCTGGACATTTGGATAAAGACCCCGCTTAGGAGTCCCACCACGAGTTCTTACTTTCCTTTTACTGGGGCACCTTTTTAAATAACCACTTACAATTGAGACCATGAAAAGTTAGTGACCTCTGCTCCAACCACCTTGTAAGTAACAGTTGCTTGCTACCCTGCTCTCTATCTCCCCCTTGCTTGTCACTTGGGATGGAGGACTGCCCTTCCCTGAGCTCATTGCCCTCCTCTTTCTGGGATCAGTAAGTAATAAATCTTATGACTCTATTTCCTCTGTGTGAGTATATTGAAACTGTGCCTGAAGGGATTAATAAATACAAATTGGTAGAAATACAAATTGGTAGTTACAAAGTAGTCACGGGAATGTAAAGTACAGCATAGGGAATATAGTCAATAATAATGTAATAACTATGTATCTTACCAGGTGGGTACTAAAGTAATCAAGGGAATCATTTCATAAATTATATAAATGTCTAACCACTATGCTGTACACCTGAAACTAACACAATAATGAATGTCATCTGTAATTGAAAAAAATTTTTTTTAATTAAAAAAAGACTAATAGAAAAAAAACAACAACCTGGGACTGTCACTTCTCAAAGCGGGAGCTCAGATGATGAGGGCGGTACCTACCAATCCCATGTGGCTGGCTTGTGCCTCCTCATTCAGCAGGTAATAATCTACATATTGTTAATTTAATACACCAGCTACAGGCCCCCCAACACAATCAGTTATAGGCATAGAAAACTATGATACTGGAGAAGATGGACTTCTGACATGAGGAAATGTCCACATTAGAGATAGAAAGTCATAATATCAGGTTGTATCATATAAAATCATGAACCAACATGTGACGATTTTTGTTTCAGCAAACGATCATTTCTTATTGTCAGTCTATGTGTGGTGACATTCATGATTCATAAGCTGTACAAGAGTTGATGGTCATTTTACAGAAATTAACAGAAACAACAGTTCAGAAAACCATAGCACATGAGTAAGGAAATTTGGTGCATGAGCAGACAACTCTGAGGCATGAGAAACAAATGAAGAGACAAAGAAATATGTCCCATATGAAAGAACAGAACAAGGTTCCAGAAAAACAACTCAACGAAATGGAGACAAGCAATCTATAAGATGCAGAGTTCAAAACACTGGTGATAAGCATGCTCAATGAACTTAGGGGAAGAACAGTTGAATGCAGTGAGGACTTTAACAGAGAGATACAACACATAAAAATGGAGATAGAAAACATAAAAAAGAACCAGTCAGAAATGAAGAATACAATAATAGAAATGAAGAATACCTTAGGAAGAATCAACAGTAGATAGACGAAGCAGAGGATCGAATCAGCAATTTAGAAGATAAGGTAGCAGAAAACATCCCAACAGAACAGCAACAAGAAAAAAGATTTATAAAAAATTGAGGATAGCTTAAGGGGCCTCTGGGATAGTAACAAGTGTACCAACATCATAGGGCTACCGGAGAGAGAAAAAAGAGAGAGCAAGGAATTGAAAACCTATTTCAAGAAATAATGACAGAAAATTTCCCTAACCTGGGGAAGGAAATAGACATACAAGTCCAAGAAGTACAGAGAGTCTCAAAAAAGATGAGTCCAAGGAGGCCTACACCAAGACACATCATAATTAAAATGCCGAAGGTTAAAGGCAAAGAGAAAATCTTAGAAGCAGCAAGAGAAAAGCAGTTAGTTACCTACAATGGAGCACCCATAAGATAGCAGCTGATTTCTCAAAAGAAACTCTGCAGGCCAGAGGGACTGGCATGAAATATTCAAAGTGATGAAAAGCACCGACCTACAACCAAGATTACTCTATCCAGCAAAGCTATTATTTAGAATCGAAGGACAGATAAAGAGCTTCCCAGACAAGAAAAAGCTAAAGGAGTTCATCACCACCAAACCAGTATTATAGGAAATGTTGGAGAGACTTCTTTAAGAAAAAGAAAAAATAAGATAAAAAATATAAATAATAAAATGGCAATAACGACATATTTATCAACAATTACTTTAGATGTAAATGAATTAAATGCTCCAGTCAAAACATAGGGTAGCTGAGTGGATAAGAAAACAGACCCTTACATATGTTGCCTACAAGAGACTCATTTCGGTTCAAAAGACACACAGACTGAAAGTAAAGAGATGGAAAAAGATATTTCATGAAAATAGAAACAAAAACCAAAAGCTGGGTTACCAATAC